GAACAGGAAGCTTTGCAACTCTCAGTACTCAGCTCTGGCGCGGAGCACGAGCGCTCGGGGTCGGTGGAATATCTGAATGCCAGGGACAACTCCTTGGAGTCGACTTGGCAGCCTCAGCGGAGGGAGATAAGAATAACGCAGCCTGCGATACCATCGCAGCGTGAGCTCCGAGGAGTTTCTTAATTTCATCCTCCCTTTCTCAGCCTCTGCTATCAGCATGCAAGTTTCCAACAGGACGTCAGAGAGCAGCGAAGAGAGGAGGATGGTTTGAGCCTGCTGCTGTAAGCGGCGGTAATGACCGGGTCCTCCTCCCATCGGGGTGAAGCACTGCTGCCTATTAGGCTTTGGAACTTCGTCAGCGTTGGTGAATTGTCGACTGAATCAGGATTACTGATATTTCTTGTTGCCAGGGAGTTAAAAGATAGGATGTGCTGCCTGGAGGCTGGGGGGGGGACTAAGAGCAAGATCTCAATTTTCCCGGCCTTGTAGTCTAGAAGATAAGGGTTTCTTTTAGCCGTTTTGAGAATTTTGTGTCCTGCCATAACTTATGTATGTTCAGTGCTTGCAGTGAAGAAACAACTCTCCGTACCCAACAATCGAGGACTTGCCTGAACCTAAACCGCAGAGATTAAAGCCAGAATCTAGGGAAGGGTGGCTGAACCCCCACCTCGCTGTAAGTTTCACCCTCCTCCACATCAGGTTTCTTACGTGACTCTCCGACCAGGGCAGCACATGGGCTGGAGGGGGGAGAAGTCATCTTGCTTCTTACTCACTGCTCCTGCATGCTATGGAAATGCTACAAATGCAGCCCAAATGTTGTAAAAGGTCTTGGCCTCTTTTGAAGGGCCTAGAAAACAAATTGTAAAAACGTTTGAAGCGGGAAGAAAATGCCACGGATAATGAATTTGAAGAGTTTGATCCACCTGGCCTATCAAAAAGTGGATTAAGCAGTGACTTGATGAGCCTGTAAAAACGTTGTAAGTTTTGGGGTTAGCAGGGGAGGGCATAAGAACCACTGTTTGAGAGCTGAACAAGTTCAAATCAGAGTGTCAAGTGCGTGTTTTGTTGTTGTCACTGAGCAACCAGAGGAGCAGGCTGTTGAGTGGTTGACTTCTCCGTCAACTATCTTGTGACCCAGGCTGGGTGACTTCGGGAGATAAGAGCCAGTCAAGTACACAACACCGAGCAGGAGGAAACTGGTGGAATGTAAAGTCCTATGAAGTACAGAAGGCCAGACTAGAGCTCGTCCTGGTCTAGCTCCTCTTTTGGAGGCAATCAGGACCTGCATGCTTCATTCTGTCCCAAAAGCACATCCTTCACGTGACAAAAATGAAGGTGTTCCCTACTTAGGGGTGAGGCTTAGGGCAGGGAAGTACTGGTGTGGATTGGTACGTGTCCATCTATGCTGGGCAGTGCATGTGGCCAGAAGCCACCCCAGCACTTGGGGCCACCCCGACCAGGGCCTGCCTCTCGAGCAGGGCTCCTGCCACACAGGCCACTGGAGAGCTGGGATGGCACCATGTGGCCTTCTTCTGCAGGAACCAGAGGTGGTCACGGAGGCAAGAGCCCAGCTGGATGCTCTGCAAGGTGGTGGCTCCCGTTTCTGCCAAAACTCAGCTGGAGTCCCTGTTGTCCCAGCCTCTGATCACTTGTTTTTGCGCGAGACAACACAGTCCTGCTCCTCTGACCAAACATAAGCATCCTCAGTTCCACATCCAACCACCACATTGGGAAGAGTTGTCCCATATAGCGGTGCAAACCTTCCTTTTTGGGGACTTCAGACTTGATAGGCTCCTAACTGTCTAATAGTGGTATTTTATTGACATTTTCTCTGTCAATATCACCTCTGGATGAGGCGGTAAGTTATAATGGTGCAAAACACTCCAGAGAAATGCTTTCCAGTTGCTTTTTCTGGCAGTACAGCATCGTGTGCTTCCACCATTCATGGAAGTTGCCTTTCTCCTATAGCCTTGTTTGCAACATGAAATAATGAAGGAAATACAGCATATACCCCATAGCATCATTTGAATTACGACTGTTAGCAGTCTGACACTTCTTTTTTACATCACACAGAAATAAATTTGCCCTTATTTTGGGGGGAGGGGAGAATTAAACTTTTGTTGATAATGAGTTCAATATTTTGTTTACGCTAAAAAGCAACTTCTGTGTATTAGAGCAATCCAGCAGTTCTTCACTCTTCGCTTTACCACAACGTAACTGAAGAGCTGTACAGCCAACCTCTTCTCCTCTTTATGATGATGTGGTACAAGAACTTCCATTCAATATTGTTCTTTTACTCTGCGCTGCATAAAGACCGGTTTATCAAGATCTGGTATGGCCTGTGCTGTGGGGCTGTGGGACACTGGGCTATGGGATGGTGCTTGAGGAAGGGCTGCAACACAGCAGCCTTCTGTTCACTTTTCAGAAGCTGTGGTCATTCATCCCCGGAAAAAACCAAGGGCCTGTGTGTCATCCACAAATAGCGAGTTTAACTCTTTAATTCAAAAGGTTTTATAATGAATGCATTTGGGTTTTATATTCTGGATTCTGAGGTTTGAAGAGTTGGAGCGGGTTCTTTAAGCCTTTTCAGTGCTGCTCCTGAACCGTGAAGACTAGAAACTTCCTCTTTTAAAATGTGAACCAAGTTCTTCACATCTTCACTCCAGAAGCTTGGCCTTTGATAAAGACATCAAACACCCAAAGAACTTGCATCGCTGGTAGGATCAAACAGAAGTTCCTACTGTAACGAAACCATGGCAAATGAGTTATCCTTATCTCCTGCATCATGGGGGCTTGGGGGTGGTGTGACCAGCCAGCGACTTTAGCACACAGATATGAGACCTTTTGATGTTGTTAGCTTTAAGGTAAGAGGCTGCTTGTTTGCCAGCCTGGCCAGGCTGTGCTGGGGTGGCTTTCCATGGGTGCACAGTGGTGGGTACCTCTCGGGGGATGTGTGGTGCCTCTGCCATGGTGGTGTCTTTCCATGGATGTACTATGGTGTTCCTACCAGGGGATGTGTGGTGCCTCTGCCATGGTGGTGTCTTTCCATGGATGTACTATGGTGTTCCTACCAGGGGATGTGTGGTGCCTCTGCTATGGTGGTGTCTTTCCATGGATGCACTATGGTGTTCCTACCAGGGGATGTGTGGTGCCTGTGCCACGGCGGGGCCTTTCCATGGATGTACCATAGTGTTCAGGGGATGTGTGGTGCCTGTGCCACGGCGGGGCCTTTCCATGGATGTACCATAGTGTTCAGGGGATGTGTGGTGCCTGTGCCACGGCGGGGCCTTTCCATGGATGTACCATAGTGTTCAGGGGATGTGTGGTGCCTCTGCCATGGCTATAACTTTCCATGGATGTACCATGGTGTTCCTACCAGGGGATGTGTGGTGCCTATGCCACGGCGGTGCCTTTCCATGGATGTACCATGGTGTTCCTCCCAGGGGATGTGTGGTGCCTCTGCCATGGTGGTGCCTTTCCATGGATGTACCATAGTGTTCCTCCCAGGGGATGTGTGGTGCCTCTGCCACGGCGGTGCCTTTCCATGGATGTACCATGGTGTTCAGAGGATGTGTGGTGCCTCTGCCATGGTGGTGCCTTTCCATGGATGTACCATGGTGTTCCTCCCAGGGGATGTGTGGTGCCTCTGCCATGGTGGTGCCTTTCCATGGATGTACCATGGTGTTCCTCCCAGGGGATGTGTGGTGCCTCTGCCACGGCGGTGCCTTTCCATGGATGTACCATGGTGTTCAGAGGATGTGTGGTGCCTCTGCCATGGTGGTGCCTTTCCATGGATGTACCATGGTGTTCCTCCCAGGGGATGTGTGGTGCCTCTGCCATGGTGGTGCCTTTCCATGGATGTACCATGGTGTTCCTCCCAGGGGATGTGTGGTGCCTCTGCCATGGTTGTGCCTTTCCATGGATGCACCATGGTGTTCCTACGAGGGGATGTGTGGTGCCTCTGCCATGGTGGTGCCTTTCCATGGATGTACCATGGTGTTCCTCCCAGGTGATGTGTGGTGCCTCTGCCATGGTGGTCCTTTCCATGGATGTACCATGGTGTTCAGGGGATGTGTGGTGCCTCTGCCATGGCTATAACTTTCCATGGATGTACCATGGTGTTCCTACCAGGGGATGTGTGGTGCCTGTGCCACGGCGGTGCCTTTCCATGGATGTACCATGGTGTTCCTCCCAGGGGATGTGTGGTGCCTCTGCCATGGTGGTGCCTTTCCATGGATGTACCATGGTGTTCCTCCCAGGTGATGTGTGGTGCCTCTGCCATGGTGGTGCCTTTCCATGGATGGACCATGGTGTTCAGGGGATGTGTGGTGCCTCTGCCATGGTGGTCCTTTCCATGGATGCACCATGGTGTTCCTACCAGGGGATGTGTGGTGCCTGTGCCACGGCGGTGCCTTTCCATGGATGTACCATGGTGTTCCTCCCAGGGGATGTGTGGTGCCTCTGCCATGGTGGTGCCGGGGTGTCCCGTGCTCCATGCCTCTGGGTGCTGAGGGCGATGTCTCCACAGACAGGTCCCCAACACACCATGAGCCGCTTCCTCTCCCACTCTGCCCCTACGGACGCAACGATAAAACACTCTTTCTGCTTTATTCCCGGGCAATTTCCCCCACATCTTCCCTCAAAACTCACCTTTGCCCAGCAGCGTTGTTGCCCAAACGTGGCCAGCGAGGCCCGACAGCTGCTCGCCGATGGCTGAGGGACGGGGGGGACGGACACCCTCACAGCTCCCGCGGCGGGCGCTACCGGGCCCGGGCTCCCCACACAGGGCCGGCCCGGAGGCTCCGGAGAGGCCACCCCCGATCCCCGGTCCTGCCGCCCTCCTCATCAGCGGCGGTTGCGGGTCCGCTGGGCCTCAGCCCCCGCCCCGCCGCCTCACGGCCCGGCCGCCGCCGCCGCTTCCCCTCAGGCCGCCCCCGCCCGGCGGGCGGGAAGCGGGGCGCTGAGGCGAGCCCGCCCCGCGCCCACAGGGGACGGCGCTGGGAAGAGAAGGGAAGAGAAGGGAAGGGAAGGGAAGGGGAGCGGAGCGGGGGCGCAGCCCGAGCCCAGCCCAGCCCCAGCCCAGCCTCCGGCGCAGCCCCGGCAGGTGGTGGCCCCGATAGCTCCGCCGCGCTAAGCCTCCGCCGCCCGCTCGCCCCCCGCTGCCATTGCCGGGCGCCGGCTGGGGAGAGCTCGGCGGAGCCATGGAGCTCTGAGGAGCGGCGGCTGAAGGGGGTGAGGAACGGCGGCGCCGCGGGGAGAGGAGCACAACCCCCCCCAGTCCCCCTCGGGGGGCTGCCGGAGAAGGTAAGCGCTTCCCCGGCTCCCTCCCCGCCGCTCCGGGGCGGCAGCGGCGCTGGGCTCCCGGCCGCCGCTCGCCTCCCCCCGCGGCCGCCGCCCGGGGCCGGGTCCCTGTCACCCCCCGCACCCTGGGGATGGAGGGACCCCCGGGGGGAGCCGTTACGGGCCCTGCTGGCGGGGGTCGGGGCGGCGGAGGGGACACTGGGGGGTCCCGGGGGGCGGCCGGGGCCGGGCGGGGAGTGCGCGGCGTGGCCACCTGCGCGCAGCAGGTTGGAGGGAGGGAGCGCATCGCCCTCGCTTTGCGGGTTGTTTCGGGGGTTTCGGTTAAGTTTTTGCCGTAGCGAGTCACATGGCGTTAAGAACCGATAGTTTGGAAAAAAAAAAAAAAAAAAAAAAAAAAAAAAGGGGTTTTTTTTTTTTTTTTTGTGGGTTTTTTGGTTTGTTTTCTTTTTGGTTTTCCAAAGAGGAAAGATGTACTTTAATTGTTGGTTTTTAGAAATTATTTTCTTCCGTTCCCCCCCCCCATTTCTGCCACAATCACCCATTTTAGCCCAGACCCGCTAAGGCTGCCTTGTGGCAGCATCACCAGCACCGTGGCCATGGGCTGGGGGGGACATGGGGTCACCCCCGAAAGGGGTCTGTGCCATCGGCCGGACCCTCCATCCTGATCCTCAGCCTCGGGGCCTTCTCCCTTCTGGTGGGGTCAGCCCTCCCAGTGTGAATTTCTCTGGGGCGTTTTCTCTTCCAGTCTTCACAGCCATGCGTCGTGTTCACCAACATGTGGTTTGAGTCAATTCGGTGGTGTTTTTTTTTTTCTTTTTTCTGATTTCTCCTCTTCTCCCAACTCGGGCGGGAGTTTTGAGAGGAGCTGGAAGTTGGGGGTTTCCCTCTGCAGAGCTCCACAGGGCAGGAGAGCAGAGAGGGGTGCTCCCGTCACCTCCTTGGGTGAAGGCTGAGGAGCAGTAAATCATCTCTGATAGACAACAAGCGATTTATTCGAGGTCTCTCAGGGTGGAATGTAAGTCAGGAGTTGTTTTGCGTGGTGCTCAGCGTCTGCTGTGGTAGAAGATCTCCCAAGAGATCACCAAGGAGAGAATTCCTGATAGATTTGTAAGTTATCTTAACAACAGAATTAGTCTGTCGCTTTTTATTTTTTCCCTCTGAAATTCTGATGTGCCGACGAAGCAGCAGGGAATAAGCTGAATAATTGCATTTGCACATTTTAAATCCAGTGAAACTGAGAACTTTTTATGCCACTTGGAGAGAGACACTCGTGCGCTGCATCCCGCACGGTCGGCTCCAGAGAGGGTGACCAGATTGCAAACAAATCTCTTGATTTAGAAATCATCTAGAACCTAAAGCTCTTTAGTGCAAAGGGTGCTTTTCTAGTACACTGTTCCGTATACTGGCTGCATATCGCATGTTATTCATACTAATTATCTCTTTCTCTTGTCATTTAATCTATTTTAATATGTTGCCACCTGCCTGCTCAGGTACTCCAGGTGCACCTAGATCTTACTTAATTCTCATCTTTGGACATTTTGGATTCCAGTAAACCATTTTTACTGTCGCACTTAAACAGGATCCTGAAGTAAAATACAAGGTGCAGCCTTGTTGGCTGCTTCTTCCAAACCCATATTCAGGTTGAATTGGCATCCAGGTGAAAAATTCAAGCAAAGTCTTCTCTGTGTCGTAGAGATACCAAGTCCTGATCTCAGGCTATTTTGATGTTTGTGGGTAGGACCCTTTTCTCATTTTCTGGCAGTAAATAGGGCTCTGCCTTCTGCAAATACAGCCTCTCCTCTTTGTAGTTAGGTTGCAAAAAAACTCCTCATTGGTCTTTGTGCCTTCTGGTTACTGCAGTTTCCTCCTTTGCAGTTGCTTTGGTACCGGGATGTGCCTTTTTATATTTGATGAAAATCTCACTGTCCAGATTTTGTGTCCCAGACCTTCCTGGCCTTGTCCAGCCAGCCCTGTCCTTACTTCCCAGCTCTTCCCACCTCTCATGGAGGCCTCTCCTTCTTCACCATTCAAATCCTTACTCAGGAGTCCAACTTATCTATTGGGAAGCTTAGAACAGATTAATTTGCTAATTGTCTCTGTGAACAGTAGTAGTTGTTTAAAAATTCCACTACCTTGAATTTCCATATTTTATCCATATTTTCAAATTTATTATCAATATTATCCATATTTTATTTCCATTTTATTATCAATATTATCCATATTTTATTTCCATAAAACTACATTTAAAAATTCCACTACCTTGAATTTCCATATTTGAAATAGATAGCCATGGGTAGATTTGTAAAATCCTTCCTAAATTTTAAACACTGACAAATTGGGATTATTTGTTTTACCCAAACAACCCTGCCCCAGAGTAATCCAAGCTGTCCCAGTGTAGATGTGGGTAGTTCTTCTGTATTGAGTAAATAGTGACAAAATGGCCTGTAGAGACACCTTTATGTGTTTAAATTAAATGCCCATTATGCAGAAAATAAAGCATGTAAGTCTTTACACTAGTTCCGTCAGTAAATGAAATTGTACAATTATGGCAGTGGGATAAATATAGCCTTAGCAGATGGAAAAAAAAAATATTAGAAAGGCATAGAAGGACTGACGATGGGAGAGAACTCCCCTAAACTTGAAGGCTGTTGCAAACGAATGTGTGTCTACATGCATTAAATATTGCTTCTAAAGCAAAAGGATATTAATCTGATGTTATTACTCATGCTCTGTTTTTTTTTTTTCCCCTGTATTTCTCTTACTTTAGAGAATTAAAATAATTTGTCAGCTTCACTTTCACATTCTAGCTGCTGCAATGTTTTGGTTTCAGGCAATGCAGAGGAATGGTTATTTAGCAGGTTTAGGTAAAACATTGTAGCTGAATTTCTTTAATTATGAAAATATTTTTTCAGCTTTAAAAACTCGTCATTGATGGTATCACGTCGCTTGCTAAAAACATACGTGAAAGGTCTGTTTTGCTTAGTGCTGTTCTGTGAGTGTTCTGAGAACAAGTAGACGTGGAGTGAAATTAAAAAATTCAAGACTATTAAATCATTTTTTTTTTTATTAGATGTATAAATAGACTGAGGGACTATTTGCTGGGGCGTTCTTGATGCACAGAACTCGGCTAGATCCAAAATAAATTTCTCTAAATCACAGAAGCATCCAGAAGTATGTAAAACCGTGCAAATACTAAAAAAGACAATTTTGGAGAGTGGTGGAAAAGATGTAAATGTTTATCCTTCATAGCTTAAGCCAGTCAGTCTCTGGGAAATAAGGCTGGGAGGAAACTTTCTAGGAGAGCAGATTATTCTGCGTCTGCCTACAGTGGAATTTCTTGCACTTTCTGCTGAAGCATCTGGCGTTACTGTCAGTGATGAGAAAATAGATTAGTGGATGATGATGGATTAGATCTGTGGCTATTCAGATGCTTAAAAAGTGTAATTCTCTAAGTGTGCACACGCACTCCACGTTTGGCGCTTTCTCAGGTTTGTGCTCTTAACAATACACTTTGTTTATTTTATTAATAAGTAAGGGGAGGAGGATCCAAAAAGTTCCCCTGGGGTCGTCTTTGCTTCTCCCTTCTCCTTCTGTCTGTGTGGGTTTTGTGTGTGTGGTTTGTGAGATATTTTTTTTCCCTCCCTCCCCTCCATCCATCGCTCTTTCCTGAATGTTCTCTCCTTTTGGAAACCAAGCCAAGAGTGTTATATATATATTTTTGCCAGTGGGGAATGAGGAAGCAAGAGGAACCAAAAGCTCTGTCATGGGCTGGATAGTGCTCTGTGCACGTGGTGGTGTTTGACTGCGTCCTTCAACCTACGCCTTCTCTTTCACCAGCAGGAGGGGAGATGTCCCATTATGGGGGGAGATGTTATCAGGTTTGGGTCAGACACTGATATTATATCTCCATGAGGACAGCCAGGGTTGCATGTTGGTGGGGCAGCCACGAAACCAGGCTATGACAAACCGAGACATAGGATCTGGAGGCATCTGTGCAGGTTCGGAGCCTGGAAGAAGTAAGGACAATCTTGGTGGTCCTACTGAAAATGTAGGTTAGGAATTGGGACAGGGTAGACCAAAGGTATTGTACAGAGCCAGTTATTTTATAGAGAAAAAAAAGGTAGCTTGTCTGGGGTAGAATTATAAAGCTTGGTGCCTTATGGGCTGAACATCTTTACTGTTAAATCGTTAAAGAGTTGAGAGACGGGTAACAGTCGGTGCTAGCACCAACAAATGGATTATGCTGGGCTGTGGGATGGTGAAATGAGGCTGGGTTGGGTTTGATCTTTTGGCTCAGGATGATGTGGGTGGGTGATAGGGAGTTACTGTGGGCTTATGTGAAGTTACTGCGGATTCTGGTGGGGTGGAAGTGGCTGAAAGTTCAGTGCAACGTGGCATAAGAAGCCACTGGCAAAGGGATGAGGTCTGTCATGAGTTTAGGTGTTTTTCTCCACGTGTAGAAATGCTACATGTAGTAGTGGGGCTAAAATTAGGATTAGGGATTGGCAAACTGTGGGTTGATGACCTTTTCTGTAACTCCAAGAAGGGCTCATGCTAACAGGGGGAAATGCCTTGAAGGATAAGTCTTGACTAGATGGTGGTTAAAGCCACAGACAGGGCCAGGGGTTGAGTTTCTGAGCTTGGATTTGGAAATGGGAGCAACCAACCAACACACTAAGAGATGTGCTAAATTGTGGTCCTTAAACTGTGATGGCTGGAGCCAAGTAGGCAAGTGTCTTTTGATGGGTTCTGACGATGAGCAGCCTTCCTGAGCTGGAGCTAAGATCCAGGTTTCCATTAGAGCTTGCTATGCTTAGAAGTTTCCTGCTGGGCTGTCACCCTTGCCAGCAAAATACAGGGACTGGGTTCCTGTCCCAGCAAGTGGAGTCAGCTCTAAGGGTTTTTGAGCCTTAATTCCATGAAGGTTTCCATCCAGCCCTTGGTGTAGCCATGCTGACCCTTCCTTGCCAAGCCATTTGTCTCTTGCCTGGCTGGCTTTAGCC